AGCCGAAGCCACCTAAGGCCTCTAAGTTCAAAACAGCCCATTCTCATCCCCGCGAACAGCAGAAGTCAGGCCAGGTCTCGCCCGCCCCTGGAACTCCACACTCGGTTGCCGAAAGATCGTCCCCAAAGCTGGCCTCTTCAAGCTCTGGGACGCCTATCTTAGTACCATCTTCCTCCTCGCTCCCTCCCAGGCAGCAGGCAGCTGTGGGCATATCCATTGCATCGACCAACATGAAACCTCAGCAGAATGGATCTCTGACTCAGATGCCCAGCATGATTGTTGAATCACCCTCTTTCCTACCACCTTGGAAAACATCGACAACCGCATCGTTACCAGCTGGACCGCTAGTGACGGTCGACTCGCCGCCCTTCCAGTCTGTAATAATTGATTCGCCTTCATTCCAACATTCTACAGTCTTCCCCGCTACGTTTTCACCTGGCGCAAGCAGTGACCGCCCGAGCGCTCCTTCAGCTGATCGCCCCCCGCTTGTCATGGCTGCCGAGGTGAAAGAGTCGAAACCGGCTGCACAGGCAAACAGTAAAAGTGCCGGAGGACGAGAGAAGAGGGTTTCGAGGTTCATGGCTGAGAGGATGTAGAGCACGAAGCAATTCGTGTACTTGTACCTTGAGAATGTTCGTATTTATCACAGTGCGCAAAATATGGGGAAGCTGGCTGGGAACACAGCTGTACTGTCAGGAGTTTCATAGAAATACGAGTTAGTGACCGCAGATCGGTCGAGTCAACGGACGAGGAAGGGGAGGCGAGCCTGAGGAGATCATATATCCGACACACCAGTGGCACATTTCAGGTTGATCGCCTCCACGCGTGGAGGGTTTGATTGGCCTCTCTGCGCGCTTCCGGCTCCGCCACCCGGTCTATCAGTACTTCAGTCTGCATGAAACTCTCCACTGGCATTGCGCTAGCAGTTCGCGTTGGCATTGCACTTATAACCTGCACATTTTTCCAACCTGACGAATATTTCCAATCCCTCGAAGTCGCTCATCACCTGGTCTTCGGCTTTGGACATCTCACTTGGGAATGGCTTTCTTCCACGCCTATCCGAAGTATAGTCTACCCAGGGCTCAATGTGCCCGTGTATTGGGTCCTGAAGGTTCTTGGCTTAGATAACACTCGATTGCTGGTGGGTGCGTACCATCCAATGTTACTTGACGCATCGTCTAAGAACCGACGACAGATTTGGGGCCCCAAGATCATACACGGAGTCTTTGCCGCTGGGACTGATATATGGCTATGTGATCTCACGAGAAAAGTGCTTGGGGAAAGATATGTTTTGACAGCAGTACGTGAATTTCTTTACAGAAACCTGGTGGTGCAGGCTTTCTGAATGTTCAGCGATCCAGCTTTTCCTGTCATTAACATCTTTCTTCCACGGCCTTTCTTTAGCTCGCTCTTTTTCCAACTCCCTGGAGACATCTCTGACTGTTATCGCTTTGAGCTACTTTCCTTGGCATCATGACGAAAATGCCTTCAAGAGGTGGGGGATACTCGAATTTTCCGGAATATTCATTCATCATTGATCCAATGCACACAGGCAGGAAATCCGTCGTATGCTTATCTTCGCCGCTCTAGCTTGTGTGATTAGGCCTACGAATGCCATTATCTGGGTGTACATGTTCGCGGCATTGCTCTGGCGCTTACCTCGTAAGCCCACATACTTGGCTTCCGTACTCGTCGACACTGTGTGTATAGGGTACGTCTATTATTTTTCGTTGAATTATCGCATTTTTGTGACGTTTCTTGACTAGCTCAGTCATACTAGGAGTCTTGGTTCTGATCGACTCCGCATACTACGGAGCTCTTACCATTACAGCCATCAATTTCCTGCGCACCAACCTCTCCTCGGTATCTCTATTCTACGGGACTAGTCCTTGGCACTACTACTTCTCACAAGCTATGCCACTTCTCTGTACCACTGCATTACCTTTTGTACTCCATGGGATGCTGCTCGCTGCTCGCGTAGGGACCGGGGCTTTGCAGACCCTTTCAGGCCTCATCGTTTGGACCATTGGCATTTACTCGCTGCTAGGGCATAAGGAATGGAGATTTATCCACCCAATACTTCCGCTCATGCACGTGTTGGCCTCGAGGTCACTCGTACCCTCAAGGAGGCATGATAAACTCAAATCCTCCTTGCCTCTAGGCCGGGTGTACCGGTTATTGCTTTTGCTCAACATCCCGGCAATAGTATATGTTATGCTGTTTCATGGTCGAGCCCAGGTTGATGTTGTACGTTATCTGGCAAATTTACGGGCGGGAGAGGTCTCGTCTATCGGCTTTCTAATGCCGTGCCACTCGACGCCATGGCAAGCTTACATGCACCGATCCGATCTGGCCGACGAGGGACGAATCTGGGCTCTAGGCTGCGAGCCTCCGTTGTCGTGCGTATGATTTTGACGTTCATAGATCCCTTCGTCTGATGGCCTACGCCGATCTAGAGGACAGGATATGCAATTCTATCAAGACCAGACCGACATCTTCTTTAATTCTCCTCCGGTATACTTGCATACCCGTTTCCCGAGAGAGGTCAATCCTTTCTTTCCGCCATCACCATTCCCTTTCACAGCGCCCGGCGCCTCCACTTCCAGCAAGGATTGGGCGCATGAGTGGCCGCAGTACCTCGTGATGTTCGGGGCGCTATTAGATGATGAGGTCCGAAGTATACTAGAATCGCGGAGATATCGTGAAGTCTGGCGAAGCGGGACTGGGTGGGAAGGCGATCAGCGAAGACGGGGAGGCGTCAAAGTATGGTCATTCCAGCCAGTGCTAGACTAGACCGCCTCGTGTCGAGATTGTTTCGTATTATGAACCGGTATACCCGAGGTGTACCGAAACGAGTATATATTCGCTGGCAGACGGGAGTAATTCATAGCACGGCGCACAGTGCTGACCCACAGATAGTTTTTATCGTTAGACCCACAGCTTCCTATTCCATTGCCGACCATGTCTGCCTGTGCCATCGCCCTCCCCATCGAACTCTGGTTATACATTTTTCGTTTGGCCACCATCTCATCCTTGACACATCGCCTCTGTGCCACTACCTATGGCCCGTTCGAAACAGCCTCACTCATCGCTCAGGATGACAAGGACGCTGTCAAGACGAAGTCCGCATTGGTCCGCGTCTGCAGGCAATGGCGTGCGCTCACCTTGGACCTTTTCTACGAGGACCTCTGGATTGGCAGCCCAGAGAGGCTGGTCCAGCTTCTAACAAACGAGGAGAGGCAGGAGATTGGAGGGCGCGGAAAATGGGTCCGTCGCGCCAACCTTCCATATACGAGTTCAACGACGGTGAGGCCCCGCCGTCTCGACGCCATCGAAATTCTTGAACAATGTCCCCGACTAGAGATTCTGGTCCGCATTGGTCCCTTCCGTCCAGACGTGGACCTCCGTTTTGAATTCCCTACCGAGTGTCCCCCATTGCCGTCTCTGAAGCGTCTTGACTGGTGGCATCTTAGCGACGCAGCTCGTTCCGGAGGTATCAACTCCCTCGGAGACGTCCTCCAAGCTGCACCCAATTTACTATACTTGTCATTGGGTGGATATGTCAGGTTCACCCATTTGACAAGATCGCTCATCAGCCTCCCCTTTTTGGAGACGCTTCGTATCTTGCGCCTGAACGTGCTGTTTGTCCAGCAAACATGCCGCTGGTCCCTGCCTGGCCTGCGCCATCTCATCATCGACACTGTGGAGGATATCAGCATACTTGAAAGTTTTTGGGAAGCCTTTGGAGCACAGTTACGTACCGTCGAATTAGGCCCGAGCCTCAGTTACTACGTCTACGACTCCCTGTCGTACATCCTCCCGGGCTGTCCGCAGCTCAAAGCCCTAAATTATCACATCCACTTTACGGCTGTCCCGTCTTCATTTCGGGACACATTCGGTTCGCTCACCACCGTCGGACTGCATGCTCATCCCAACCTCCTGCTTCCGCCCGAGAGCGTGGAGTATTGGAGACGCTTTCAAGAACATTTCGCTATGCTCAGCGGTCCAGCATTCCCAGCATTAAAGGAAGTGTTCCTCTACGGCGACTGGGATTCGGTGGTAGAAGACATTCGCTATCCGTTCTTGGTTCAACCCTTACTTAGCCGCCATTGCATTATAGAGCATAGATTGTAGAGGTCAACCCGCCTGCGTGTTTACCGCTACTTTTCGCTAGCCGTTCTGTCTGATTCATTCTGTTCGTTTTCACGGCTCTAAATACATTAGTGCTTTAGCTAGATCCTTAACCCCGTCTACACTACATCGAATAAATGAACCCGGGTATCTTGGTGCAAATACGATTATGTCGGAGAAAAAACAAAAATGTGTCATAGTCCATTGATATTGTTAAAGCCAGAGGGAATGTAAGACGTGATTGCTGTGTGTCGTAACCGCCTATGTTTGACCTTTGCCGATGGAGGCAGATGGAGCGTGATGCTCAGTCCGACGAGAGACGGACCCAGGATCCTGCTCAATCTGTCCCTGCCGCTGAACAGATATATGATGGATTGGATAAGCCACAGAGGGAGCGCCCACGATGAACGACCCTTCGAGCTGATTGAAGCTAGTGCCAGCAGGAAAGTGGCCCGTCGAGGGGCCTCTGCGGGCTGCGGGAAAGGGACGGCCGTTTGATGCGTCTGGAAAGCATTAAATCCAGGCATAAAGACGCAAATATGGAATGTACGGACTCTGGGGTGACTGTGGCGCACCCTCAACACGCCGTCTCGGAAAGTCGTCTGAGGATTGGCGATTGCGATTTGTTAGAAAAGCCGCAGTACCATTATTTGGCTCGAGACAAATGGCAGCGTGAGACGTTTGTGGGTGATTGCGGCATTGGATGCATAACCGGACACGTCCCCGAGGCGCGATGGCAGTATGGTTTGTGAAAAGTCTGTCGCACCGTTCGCACCGTACACGGGTTGTAGATGCAGACGAAAGTATCCTGTTAGGTAGATGCATTCGGCCGCCATAAGGGCTTTAGCTGGAGGGATCGGAAGAATTGGGAGGGTTGGACGGAACTTCGTCCATGGGTCCAAATATGAGATCGGATTCGGAGCTGTTCCCTGAACCGGAACTAGAGCCAGACTCTTGTAGATAGAACCGTCGTCGCGATCGCTGAGGCAGACCATGGCCTGGTATGGCCAATGGCTCTGACTGGCCGGGATACCTGGACTGCTGCTGAGCCATACACGATTGACACCGCTTGGTAGGCTTCCGGTACAATGAGAGGGAACGAAGGATCAATCTTGAAGGATGCTGGGGATAGGGTGGAATTTATAGGATTGCGTAACACTGGCCGGCCTAGTTCATTGGGCTCCCTGACAATGGTTCCCAACATCCCTGGCCTTCTTTGAGAGTGGGTGGGTGAATTAAAAAGAGTCACAATCGCTATTTCCGTACGCCACCGAAGAGGGAAGGCCAGTATTTCATGTTATCGGGAGTGGTGATAGAATCCACACCAGCAATCTGCCAAATAATCAGAGTTCCACGCAACCCTCGTGCGGCGCCATTATGCGAACGGGCCAAAAGTCTTAAAAGGGCAGGAGGTCAGTCAACCTACACCAGCGCTCCAGACACTCCCTAAGATGGTTCCGTCGGCGTTGATAGCAACTGTCGGCCATGGCCGCCACATAGCTCCCGGGAAAAGCAGTGCATGCATGCGGAATACGGCACTGCTATAAACCCTGTTACCACATAAGTTACTAAATAGTAGCGTTATACTTACCACAATAATCACAAACAGTGAGGTCCTGGGTCCACGTCCGAGAAGGATGGTTTTACGATGAGATAGTGGCAGGCTATCAGCCAATGGGCGCTGGGAACATATCACGGCGGAGGAGCTTCCATTATTACAACCCCAGTCAGGACGCACAATTGGGCGGAACAAAGGGAAAGCCATATCCAGACACAGTCAGTCAGTCAGTCAGGACAATAGTGGGCCGGACAGACAGGAATGGATCTGAAGACACGGCCATTGAGATCTGGAAGATAGGCCAGCGATGTTAGCAAGTAAGGCGTAGATTTTTCCGTTCCCCCGTTGATGCTACTCCAACCACACTGCGCTCGCCCCACGCACGAACACACTATCTCATATGTTAGTGCCTGAGGTCGCTGGCGAATACTGGCTGTATCGTGAAAGACATAAGAGTCACCGACATCTGAACTGATGCTTCGCCCATGAAAAGGACGGGGTCTAACGCATTTCCGCCGCAGATAACCGACTCAGAGACAGACAGAACCTAATATAGTGGCTCAAGCGATGCCTTCGAGTCATATGAAAATACTTCATGACGTGAGAAAATTGTCGAGAAACAAAACACATACGTATGGCATTTCCAGGGACGATGATATTTCTAAATACTCCAATCGATGGCAGAAGGTCACAAAATCAGAACGCGAGTAGAATCCGCACACAAAAGAGGAGAATGCTCCATGCAGTGGCGGGAGGTTGTACAATGCCACTGTTGAAGACACCCGTTTAAGCGAGACTGTGAAGATAAATTGCCACTCACACCATTCCCTGTACCATAAGGAGATGCTCACCAAGAGGTCGTCTATCAATTCGTGCATGCCACTGACATCGTCGAGAAAAATGAAAAGTCAATTGGTTGAGGCTAATATAACGAGAAAGATGTAACAGCAGAGCTCGAGCTGCAAGCCATCATCTATCACCGGCCGATCTTAACCCGTTGAGCTCGAGAGAGCTGAAATAAATATCAGTAAGCGCAAGCGGAGGAAGGGGTCCAAAGGGCGCACCCGTCTCCGTTTCCTGAGTCTGAAACATGACGATGAGTTGGTACATGGAATGCCATACGGTGATCTCACTCACTTGTGCTTCTTCATCTTCTTTCTGCGCTTCCTCTTTGTGCTGTCCATGTACACCTCAAACTCAGTCTCCGCCAGTTTAACCTCTTCTGCTCGCCCCTTCGCCATATCCAGTCCCAAGGTTTGAAGCGTGTCATCCCATAACAAGGATGGGCCCACTCGATTAATAACCAGAGCTCTTGCGAGCTGTCGAGCGGCATCGGCATCCTCTTCTGGGGATGCTTCAGGTGACCCCTCATAACCATCCAAAATTAACGCTTGCGACCTCGGAGCCGCTGAGCTCGTCAGAAATTGTGACGCAGATTCAAATACCGATGACACTGGATGAGAGACAAGGAGAAGTGGTCGATGCAAAGAAAAGAATTGGTGGAGCTTAAGATCATGAGGGTTTAAGGTGGGATGGACAGGAACCGCTGGCAGTGGCATGGATAGGGTGTTGATTTGTAAAGGATGTTCGTCTACAACGCTAGGTGACCCAGGCGATTGTTGTGTGGATTGGTCCCTGTGAGGAGCATCGCCGCTGGACGAGGATACGTCAACCTTCCCTTTAGTCGTAGCAGGCGCAACCTTGGGAGGTTTCGCAGAGTTGAAGTAACGACCACCGCCAGGTTTAGAGAAAACAGAGTATGCTCTGCGAGCTGCTGGTACTGACCTGAGTAGGTGGGCCAGTACAGCCATGAGTGTCGCTCACGGGTTGTACAACACGAGTGACAAGAACACAGTTTGACCAGTTCAGCGACGATAAGGCACGCACGTGCCGGCGACCCTGCGGGCACTCGATTCCGAGCACCATTACTCAGAACTTCAGCTCTTGATCAGTCGCTGAAATCTAGGCATTGTGGATACATACAGTATAGTACCTAGGATAACAAACCATAACGGATATTAATACGACATCTGCGGTAATATAGGATCACCATGAACGGTGCCCCAAATTCCAGAGGTAGCGAGAGCATCGACAGCAAGGTCCGAAACCCATATGCACATCCTACAACCAGCCATCACGAGTTTCATGTAACTGTTACAATTTGTCCTTTCCCATCTTTCAGTATGACCAGCTCACAGTCGACTTTCTCTCCCGTATCCATGCACACGACGTCTGTGGGATCAATAGGGTCAAGCTTGACTTGACGGTATTCCATGAATGAACGGCCAAGGACGACGTCAAAATGCGATTCCTCTGACAAGTATACAGCATGGATTGTTTTCGTGTGCCCGACAGTGATTGGCCATTTGCCGATACTGATGTGCCCAAATTGATCAACTCGTTGTGAAGAAGCAGACGATGAAACTTACTTTACAAGTCCACCGTAACCATAGTGTCCGGGAGCAGCATCTCCAGGGATGAATCCGTGTTGTAACGCAAATTTACGAGAAATGTATACATGGCGATACCCACTCTTGAGTAACATTCGCACTATGAAAGGCGTAGCAGATTGGGTCATCAGCAGAATTTTTTCGATAAACTTACCGTTCTTGACCGGGCCTATAGTCCCAGTAATAGTGCGCACGCCATTCTCACTGTGAAATTTCTCAAATTCTTGTTTATGTTTAGGAGTACCGTCCTGCAGTCCGTCCTGCTTCATGGAGCGTGCTTTCTTGCCAGACCCCGTGCTGGAGTTTGGGCGAGGTGAAGGGGCCGGGGATTTACGTCGGAACATATAGAACGACTTGTTTTGGTACGCTGGCGGCTGCGGGAGTGATACGTCGGGGTTACGTATATGAAGAACAGGCCATTGGTCGCTGCCCGGTATGGTAGACTTTTGTCTCCATACGAAAATAGCGTAGTCTGAATCTGTTTATTTTTGAGTGAATATGACGATATACCTGGCACTAAAGTATATACTCACCATCGTCAAGATTCCAAGTACTACCATTCCATGAATATTTGACCCAGCCCGACTTGACGGGTAGGCTATTGAATTCAACTGATGCTTTTTTGCTTAGCTTCTGAAAAAGTGTTTCTAATGTATCATCGTCTGTGGAAAGCCATAAACTCAGTTCAGAGAGGACAACCTAACACCCACTTACTGGAATGAACTATTGCAAACGACGAAACAGGTGTATGGACGTTTAGAACCGGTGGCGGACCGTCCATCATGAGTGGAACGTAAAGGACAGGCACTGTATAGGTACCTTCAAGCTGTCAATAATGAACGAAGGTGGGTGCATTAAGAGAACCCGTTATGGGCGTGGTCGGGAATTCCATGCATGTTGCAGGGATGTAACGGCGCCTCCGACTGCGAGAAGTCGGATACAGCCCGGGTCACGTGGCGCGCGACCATTTTCCAAGGCTTCTCTGGAATCTAGTCTCTGGACGCTCGCTTTCGATTGTCGACCAAGGATCGAGAAATCTCATACGTGAGGTCGTACAACATACAATGGCAGACCCAGCCTCTCGTGCCAAAGCATGGCCTCTTGCAAAGCCCGAGCTTAACGATCAGGTTTGTTTTTTGTCGCACCTCGCAGACCTCCCTCACAAGGTTCCCCGGCCAGATCCTTGACTTGGTCGAAAGGGCGTCGCAGTTCAAGCAGCTCAAGAAGGGTGCAAACGAAGGTGCGCCTTTTCTGCACCATTATTGGAGCAATCTGACGTCGGGTCTACGCCAGCCACTAAAACACTTAATCGTGGCATTTCGGAAATAATCATTCTGACTGCAGACACGGAGCCTCTGGAGATCTTGCTTCATCTTCCTCTGTTGTGCGAGGAGAAGGTAGGAAATATTCTTATTGCTTTGACACATGGAACTTCGCTCTAAGTCAATGTATACAGAACGTCTCGTATGTCTTCGTAGCATCAAAAGCGGCACTTGGCCGAGCATGTGGCGTAACGAGGCCGGTCATTGCGGCCAGTATCACCACAAACGAAAACAAGGAGCTTTCTAGCCAGATCCAAACCGTTAAGAGAGCGATTGACCAGTTGATGTATTGAGCTACTATGGGGTGGGATCCCAAGTTGACTGTACGCGTGCTTGCTGCTTTGAACCACAATAAAGATGACAGTGCCCACACATACCTCATGACATCGACAAGCCTTTATTAACCTAGTCTGACATACAACCACCGCGAAGAGCTAGACAACAAACACCAATATCCGTGAAACAATGCGAGAGGCGAGCAAGATCAGGATACAATACGAGAATCTGGACTCAGCATAGTAAGAATAGATACAACTTTTATTTGGGAATGTTTTCTCGCGCTTGCTGTCGCACTCTGCGTCTAAGGCCAAAAGTAAGTCGTGTGATATTGAAACCTGAAGATTCCCGTACTCATATGCTACTCGGTCATTTCTACATGGAAAACATTGGTGACCAGTATCAATATTGAATGAAACAAGATCGGCCTTACTTGAACATAGTGTATGCATCACTTTGCGCTGGATCATTTACATTTGGATCGTTGAGCAGCTCTTGAATTCCGAGCAGGACCTGAACGTAGGTGAATACAACTCAAAGCAGGCCACATGCCACAAGTACCTGTTTAATAGTGATTGCTGGTTTCCATGATTTCTCTTCGTCCAAAATTGACAAGCAGACAGTCCCAGAAGGATAGACATTAGGATGGAAAAGAGGTGGCGCAAATTTGCCTGCCCACATATGTTAGTGCGTGCACATCGGAACGACAATAGTCATATTACATTTGGGGGGTTTCGAAGGATAGTCTACGAGTTCCGTCAGTATAACACCCGAGTGTATGAGAAGTGTGAATAAATCATCCTACCCTCTGGAAATATCATCATGAGCTTATAAACACCACCTTCCCAGGGAGTCTGCCATCTCGTATCATTCCCCACCCTCATATCGGAAGACAAGCGCGTCAGAGTCACGTACCCCTGCTTTTCCTGGAATCCCGACCTCCCACTCCAATAGATTCATAGACCCATCTGGAGCCTTCATTGGCTTCGCGTAGAAGCCCTGTAGCAGGTTCGGTTACGCGATACTAGTCTATTCCAAGAGGATGATACGTACGAAGGGATGATCCTTCCTCCATTGCTTGCGTTCTTCAGCGAGGCGCGCCCGGCAAATTCCAGACATGATGGATTTGGTCGCTTGGAGTGAGAATGCACAGTCCAGATGCGTGGTCGGTCCTCAGAACAGCGGTGGACGAACAGGAAAGACGATCTCAGTGATCTTCAATGGACCGCGGCTTAGTCAGCAACGCGACTCCCGTGACCCGTACCACTCGCACGCGGTCGTCGATGCGAACTCAGAAACCATGAGGGCCAGTTCTATCTTACTATGTATTGACGTGCTCGCCAGCATGTCGTAACACGGTAGGTTCTGTCCGAAGACATAAGGGCAGGCTGTTCTCTCAGTGATCACTGCGTGTCTTGCCTCGACTTGTCAGCGCTCAGCATTGGCAATTTATACACTGAACAGTCCCTTCCATTCAACCACTCAACTACTCGAGACGAGATCCATAAAGTCTCGCATCATATTTTGCGCCATCTTTACACGGTCCCAGATCCTTATCATCTCGGCGCTGTGCGAATGCTGTTTCCAAAAGGTTCGCAGTTATGCTCAATTAGGCCGGTTGCGTCCACAAGCTGCCATTTTCGAGCGTCTTTCTCCCAAGCGAGGGCTAATCTTTAACTTCGATTTGTAGCTGGCGGACGAAGAATATATCGTTCCGGTATCGTTGTTACGGAACTTGATACCCACTGTCATTTCGTCAGAATGCAGCAGAATGTACGTACATGCTCCTACCGGCGTACTTAATCCCTTCTTTCTTTGTAATGCATTCTCTTTGGTGTCCACCTTTTTTGATTGTGCTAATACTCATGTTTATGAACAGTCTCCGCCGCTACTTGAGACGGTGCAGCAACCAGAAGAATACGACGATTCCACTGTTTCTACAATGTCCGAGACACGAGTCGGCAGTCCCGCACCCTCATTATATTCATTTTCTTCATCAGTAGATGAACGATTCATAGTGCGTAATATGGCTGTTCCAGTATTCATCAAGGCTGCATAAAATAAACCTACAGCTCCGTAGCGTGTACGGGCGCATCTTAAATACTCAGAACGACGCGAGTTTGCATTTCTATGACTGTGACTTTATTCTGATTATGCGGTGCACAGACGTATTTTTTGCCAGCGGTAAGACTTACTCGACTATCGTCGCCGCTAATACCTACTATCTTTTTCAGGACAACGAAGAGCACAGACGACTTGATTTACAGCATCATCAATATACGATGAGCCTTGGTGGCTTGTATCCAGCGGCGATGCTTGTGCGGAGAGCTCTTCGATCACGTCCATACAGGAGACCTGCAATTTTAGACGTTGGAACCGGAAGCGGGAGTTGGCGAGTGACGTTTCCCAAGGAAGAGTTAACTTGATCCTAGAATCATTGCAGGGCTATAGACATGGCCAAGGAATTTCCGCATTGCGACGTCGTAGGGGTCGATCTTGTCCCTCCTCGAATTGACGGGTAAGCCTTTAGTGACTGAGTGGCTGACCTTGTAATGATTTTACGGTTCACGGTTACAGAGAACTACCCGCGAACTGCCGGTAAGGAGATTCATGCAATCTCGTGGACAGAGCTTGAGTCTGACTGACTCATAGCTTCGAGATAGATGACGTAAGTGGATTTTGAATTAGTCGTGGTCAATTCAACGACACTATACATAGGCGAACCTTGGGTTTTCACACTACCAAGATTCCTTCGATGTTGTACATGCGCGGGCTGTTTCTGCAGGGGTACGCTATTGCTATTGTGTCTCATTGGTTGGACCAAAATGAGACGCGGATTTTCTAGATACGAGATTTTCCTCAGCTGCTCGAAGAGTTAGCGAGATCTCTCCGTCCAGGAGGTGTTATATTACTAGGTGATGGTGAACAACAACTCTATGACGAACACAAAAGACCGATGCCCCTTGGCGACCCCGATTCCCCCGAATTTTCATGGATCCACAAAGTTTTTTTTACTTCTTACAACGCGATGAAAAATCGCGGAGGGAGTATCGACTCTCCGTGCATGAACCCCACATGGTTGAGGGCGATCGATAGCCTTATGGATGTTGGATGGCACAAGATCTTCGTTCCCATGGGTCCATGGCGATATGGTATATTGTCTCCTATTTGTGACTATTCAAAATGATCTTCACTATATATGCAGATGACGAGAGGGAAAAAACGATATCCGAGCTCTGTCGCGAGAATTGTTTACGTTATATCTCGGGACTGACTCCGTTATTGCTGAGGTAAGTCTGGTTTTTCACACATCAGGTGCCAGAGCTGCTGATTACCATTGTAACAGTGAGGGTTACCTGCCGGAGTACGTCGACAAAATGTGTCGTGAGGCTTCTACAGAATTGCGAGAGCTTCGCACACACATTTACACTCGGTGGAATTTTGCGTGGGCTGTCAAGAGGCCACCCGCAGACGTGCCAATAGTACAGATTGCGTAAAAGCCCTGCCCTCTCGCATTTCCTATTTTTATTGTGAGTATTATCATAGCAGGAAAGTCTGGTGTTGAACAAGAGTGTAGTGATTCCTTCTATACTGGTCACTACCCGCTTCGGATCTGCCAGCAAACATATGAGATGCTTTGCTATCTCAAATTTGTAGTATCTTGGCTTCGTAGAATCTTGATATGTATTTTAGTGCGTCGCTGCTGTGATGTAAACATTAGATGTAGAAAGTATGTGAGATAGAGTATCGTTTACCATCATATTCCATTGCGCCCGCGACCTGAAAGTATGTACTTAGTACTCACCAACTTGAAGGTTGCGATTGAAACAACCAGCCTGATCTGGCGCCCGCGGCGCGATCGACAAGTGCCACATCGGCACGTGGTTGCATGAAGGTGCGACGCGTCTGGCCGCGTCAGCTTTCCGTCCTAAGACCATCCCTTTCGACTCAACTACAATGAACGTCTTCGCTAGCCGATTCTCTGCGACAGGATATGCATCAGAACTTCGAAAAGCTAGGGAAATTTCTGGTGATGAGGATGTCTCCGACGTGATGTGGGGTTCTGAAGGATTTGGGAACCTGGCTAAGGAAATCCCTACATTTGCGATTCCTTCAGTCCCCGATGTGGGTGACGCACTTTCGAAAACTATAACCTGTTTTACATATCCTCTCGCCCTTATAGCCAGCTGCATTTCTACGCTTACACACTGATGACCATGCGGACCCGTCTTGCAGAATCAAAATTAAACATGGAACAACGACATTGGCTTTCAGATATAAGGGCGGCGTTATAGTTGCTGTAGATTCCCGAGCCACTGCGGGGAGTTATGTTGGTATGTGAGTCTCGTTATCCAATATGCATAGGTCTTGACTGTTGTGAATAGCGTCAGGAACGGTGAAGAAAGTCATTGAAATCAATCCTTACTTGCTTGGAACTATGGCTGGCGGTGCTGGTAAATATAATACTTTATAGGAGTGAACTATGTGGTTCTGAAAAGGTACAGCTGATTGCCAGTACTGGGAAACCTTCCTTGGCATTGAATGCCGCCTACACGAATTGCGCAATCGTGAACGCATATCAGTAGCTGCCGCGAGCAAGTTCCTTAGCAATCTTGTATACAGCTATAAGGGAATGGGGCTCAGCATGGTAATTGCGTATATGCATTGGATCATGATCACTGCTAACATATCTACAACAGGGGACCATGATCTGCGGTTGGGATAAGACAGTGCGTATTTTATTTAGGAACTCTTTGGGCCATATTATATCCTAAAGTCATACAGGGACCAACTATTTTCTACGTTGACTCAGATGGCACACGCCTGAAGGGCGACTTATTCTCAGTTGGATCAGGCAGCACCTTCGCTTATGGCGTGCTTGATCAAGGCTATCACTGGGACTTGACAGACGAGGAGGCACTGGAGCTTGGTCGACGAAGCATCTATGCTGCGGGTCATCGTGATGCGTTCTCCGGGAACACCATCAACCTCTACCACGTCCAAGAAGACGGATGGAAATTCATCGGTACGCTTCTGCAGCTTATTTACAAGGGGGTACCACTGATACATGGAGCGTGCGTGCAGGCAACTACGATGTTTCAGAGATGCACTATAATGGTCCGGGAGGGAAGGGGGGTTACGGTTATGACATACGGGTTGAGGGCCGAACTTCTGCCAATCCCCCATCATGAAGGGATGAATGTAGTTCACGTGTTACCTTATGAACAATACATATGTAAGACCTACGAGCCAGTAAATGCAAATTATTCCGGCGAAGATACATGTTTTCAGGCCAAGGGACATTTGATGTCCACTGGCACTATATCCAATTCTGCTTCATTTATTGAACCGTGACCTACATGCGATTGTCCGAGTATTGACCTCTCCATTGCCACTCGTTCTGACTGGACTACCTCCGCAGGTGGATGCTTGAGCGAGCACTCAAAAAGAATGAAACGCCTACTCTCCTTCAAGCCTCATCCCCTAGCAAAATCGGTACCTGCTGCGCTTATAAACACGTCCTCTACGGCGCCACACACGACCAGTTTGCAGCCCAAATATGTTCTACCACCTCTGCCTCACCCCTGCCCCTACGAACATATCGCCGTATTAGCAACCTCTGGGGGACTCCTGCTCAGGCCTCATTTCCAAAGCGAAGTTGATCCAGAGTCATATGTCCGGATCGCGTGGGGTAAGGCGGGCGATGTAGAAGAAGTACTTTACAGCGAAGACATTGACGGCGTTGATTGGTCGGAGAGTGTTGTGGTATACGGTGTAGTCGGCATACTGTCTCTATTCTCTGGTATTTGAGCTTCACTGGTCAAATGCGTTCCAATTTGCCATTAAATGTTCTAACCTCAGCGTCCTATTTACTACTGGTCACCTCACGATCCGAAGTCGGACATTGTGCGTCTTATTTTTATACAGGCCAGGATTCTACACTGATGAGATACCAGTGTTCGATCCCAGGCAAATTGTATACAATGTGAAGGGAGTTACAGCTATTCCACTTGTAGAGGCTCGTGCTCGTGCAGCCTTGGCCACCATCAGCGCGCGCAACGCTGCTGATCACCGCTCGTCCTTGCTTCCGCCTTCACGGCCTGATACTCCACCTCCTCCCGAGGATGGTCAGAGAAGCGCCATTTTCTCAGCCGGTTCAGGCTTTAGTGAGGGAGTTACCTCTCCTCACGTCAGATTCGTAATGGAGCCCCAAGTGAAGGTCATGACGCCGCAAACTACCCAGGATTTTGAGACACAAGATGAAGGTAGTCCACCTTCGCCTTCTTCCTCTGTTGCGTCTACGCCTTCTTCTGAGTATTCACTCAATACCGATAATGTTGTGAAAACTCTGACAGAACGCCTCTCATTCTGGAGCAGGCTGTCGAAACGCTCGTTGACAGCTGTATCAAATGCCAATGAGCTGCCAATTTCCGAGACTCCGCCTGTATTGGATCCAGGACAGCAGCGAGTGTCGCTAGACTCGCTCATTGATGAAAATAAACAAGGACCGGGGCAAGTCATTAATTCGATCCTGGCGACATCCGCGCCTCCCCCTCCAACCACGGAAGAGAAACATTCGGAACTTGAGGACAAGATTCTCCGTGAATGTGTCAGGGAGTTCACACGGGGTGGCATGTACTTTGCGTATGCTTTTGGTGTGTTGCTCTTTGCCGAGATTCGCGGTGCGCAGACTCTGAAATTTTGCAGACATTACGAGATCATTGCAGCACAAACACGAGATCCTTGCAAAAACTAAGCTTCAAAGCACTCTCCTTGCTGATCTGGATGTGCTCGATGAGCAAAAGCAGCTTAGTCCAGTTGGCGACAAGATCGATGTCCTAGCAGAGCCCTCTCCGACCCTTCCGCTATGGCGAAGAGTTGATCGCCAGTTCTGGTGGAATGAATGGCTCTCTAAGCCTTTTATTGATGCAGGAGTAAGCTTTTCACAGCATTTAGTTGAGTGGCGATTCAATTCTCTGTTGCCTAGGTGCATTCCTATGTACTGCCCATCATGCAAGGTTTCTATCAGATTGCGTCCTTCAATATCCCACGAGAAGCGGTGGCATCAGAGCAGGGTGATTTCGCAACGGTAGATTATATTCTCGTATCAAGGAGATCTCGTGACCGTGCAGGCCTACGTTACCAACGTCGGGGGATTGACGAAGATGCCAACGTTGCGAACTTTGTCGAGACAGAAACTATCATGCGAGTGGAAGTAAGATGCGGAGATGATTTTCTTCAGGTTCACCGTTCACGATCGAACTTCACAGCGGGAAGGCTTCCTGAATGTCTTCGGCCACGTCCAGATACGCGGGTCTAGTAGGCTTCCTTCCAGCTATGAGATCACGGCGCTCACCATTGCATGCATCAGTCCCTTTATATTGGAAGCAAGAGGGCTACAGCCTCAAGCCCGCTCCGCAGCTTGCGCCAGATAGAACTCATACACAGAATTTTGACGCGATACAGCGTCACTTTAAGAAAACTCTCCCGCGATATGGACCACACGTATGCTCACTTGCTACCTAGAAGACTAGAACCTACTCATGCATAATAGACTGTCGTCAATCTTACAGAACAACACGGAAAGGAATCACAAGTTACTCATGCATATAGCGAATTTGTGAATGAGTTAAACGACAAAAATGTTCAGTTCGTGCATGCTCAACTACTGTTTGAACTCTGTTAATTATCACAATGTCAGCTATATCGCATACGATTTTCATTCAGAGACCAAAGGCATGAAGTGAGTCTTTGTTCTGTTTCAGTTGCGCGCATGCTTACACTCAGGCAGGTACGAGAATATATCCAAATTGATCAATCAGCTAGAGCGTACGTTTGAGAACCAAGGGTATAGTTTCATTCTTCATATCCGCCGCCTGGCATTAAGAACTACTTAACAGCTATTTCTGGGTATCTAATGGTAGCCTTATGTCCCAACAGAAGGGTGTCTTTCGTGTAAATTGCATAGATTGTCTGGACAGAACAAATGTTGTAGAAGTACGTGGATCTAGTTATTTGAATGATGCTCATCTCACACAGCCCTTTCCAGTCGGCCTTTGCGCGACATGTGCTTAATAGACAACTGGGTGCTGTAGCCTTACTTGATACTTCTGGAGCTATACAGCGGACAGAGACTGACGTCGTGTTTAATGATGGTACGTTAAATGGGTATAGCTGGTCCAAAGCTGATCGTGCTCTTAGTGTGGGCCAACAACGGAGATGCCATCAGTCGCGAATAGTGAGCATGTCTAATACCTCTTGGCACATGCGGATCTTCACAAGCTTCTCAGCGCTGGCACATCCGCTCTCAAGGTACTATTCCAGTTAGCATGCGAAGCTAATCCTTCGTTGAACTCGCCCCTAGGGCGACTTCACCCGGACGGGCAAACGGGACCTTACAGGCATGCTCAATGACGGCGTTAATTCTTTGGCAAGGTACGCTGTCACGGAATGAATTGAATGTGTAACGTCTCTAAAGATATATCAGAATGTATTCTTCGACATTTGCGGACTGGTTCAGTCAGGCTGTCATTGACTACATACTTGGGAACAGAACCATCTCTGTATTCTCGGAATTCCTCAACAGACTACAGTCCACTGACCCTCGAGATCTAATCCGCATCTCCAAAATTAGAGCCGATGCTATTGCAACGTGTGTATCTCGTGTATTGCCAGATGGTGAACGCCTGTTATCAGGTTGGACGTTGTTCTCACCCGCCGAGCTGAACACGAGGGTGGGCGACAAATTCGAGGAGAAGGTACTATTGTTGGTGAGCGTCCAGTCGATGTATAAACAAGAACGGAGCGCCCTAATGAATTTACAGACGGCGAAAGCCATCTATGTCATAGTGCGTCCGTGTGTTGATGGTTTGCCCCGTGTTTTCTGAACGCCATATAGAGCTATGACTACACACTAGAGAAGGTCAAGATATATACACGTGTACCACTCAAAGATATCACGGGAGTTATGAAAGGTTCCTGTATTTTCCACCCTAAAGCCCAAAATACTGATGCGTCCCGCATCTCAAGGCGCCTATATACTATCACCCTTAGAGGAGGGCAGCCGCGACCCCGCGCAGAATGCAGGATTTGTATTGGTGTGGCGAAACGTGGGCCAGGACACACGCGTCACAAGTTATTCCATCCGAAACAGCCTTGACTTTTCCTCGCCTCCCCCATCGCCACGACAAATGATACCAGAGCCGCCTGCGCAAAGGCGTGCGACTGTACCGAGCTCAATGCGCAGAAACACGCTGTTGTCCGGTTTGCTCTCCCGAGCAGCAGCCCCAGCCGAGGAAATGGACAAGACATTCGCAGCATTCAAGGCATTGCCCATTGATCCCATGCGTTCGCGACGAGACACAGGCAGTTTCATCGAACCTGCGGATGAACTCGCGGGTGCAACGAACTGCAGAGAGGCTGTGGACATGATTGTGAACACGATTCAACAAGCGTGTTGTGATGCAGGCACTATCGATGGCAGTATAGTTAACGAGGAAGATATTGTCAGGTCAGTCTCTCCGGTGCCATGGATTTCATTGATATTGACACCAGTGCGTCTGTGCTAGCTTGGCCGAGGCGCAGCGCATGACTAGTGTCTACGCCAAGATGGAATATGGAGTAAAGAGGTTGCTCTGGCTAGGCGGTTGACCAATCGCGCCATAGTGCTGCGTACACAAGGATGTGAAGGGAAACGTGCATGAACAGCGTGGTTTGGTTCTTAAATAAACGTGTAGTTATTTATTCCCACATTACCTTTTGAAGGATACCCTATTTCTTGTATGGGATGTGAACTTATCGAAAGGATGATCAGGACTAGGGTATCCAAATCTAATTTAGGATCATATCAATTCTCGGCGATCGACCGCGACGGGTCGATGCTCATGCGGCCTTTGTGAGCGACTAGGTTCTTCCTTCCTCTCCGCAGACCCTTTCCTCCGCTGTGGCTCCGAGTCGACGCTGGTGACCGCTGTGCATTGTTGGTCAAGCATCGTGCAACTACTTTGACCACTTGAGCTATCCCCAGCTCAGGCATTTCATTTGCCCCACTGCAAGACAGGCCTTTGGCTGGAGCCAAACGAGCTAATATCGCACCTTTTTCTCGAGGAAACGGGGCCCTTGTACAGGCGTAGGGTGACATCGTTCCCAGGAAACTCGTGCTGTGCATGCCTCTACGGTCGCACGCCAGCCTTCAAATTGACCAGTAATTCTCGCGCAACTCTCGCTTCCCGCCTTTTGCTGTACATCATTCTAGTCTTTCATTTATGGCGACCTCACACTCTTTATCCTCTCCTTCGCGTCCTGTGACTCAGCTGCCCTTCTCACCGACTCCCCGCAATGCCACTCGCACACCTGGTACGCCGACCAGGGCTCACAGCGGGAGCGTCTCCAGCACATCCCCAAGCCGTTCTGGTTCATTAGCATCGCGCCCTCCGCCGAACATGAGTCACATAGGCGAGTCTGTTCTACCTCAGTCTATGTCTCTTCCACCTTTCCAGCCGACCACGACGTACACTCTAACGCATGCTACTGGCGTCTTGCCATCAGCATCCTTCTTCCATCCAACTCGCCCGAGCTACCCACCACCTCCACCCTCCTTGTCGCACACGCGACGGTCCAGTGTGGCATCTATCGTGACGTCCGACGCACCGGCATCCGACCCTCTGCGTCTCACCACACTCTCAGAGAATCACTCACACGGTTCGGACGGTTCTGACAGCTTCGGGAATTCTACGGACGATGCAAAAGAGGAGCCTTCACTTGACCATTCTGTGAAGTCGCCAACCGTCAAACCTAGCAGAGAGCCATTGCTCCCCATTGGTCCTGGGTCGCGGCAGGCCCGTCGCCCCTCTGTTGTTATACAGACGGCGACGCCTTATGGCACCCATGACGGGGGCGTCAGTCCTACTGCGCGATTGCGCGGTAGCTTTGAGAAGCTGTTTAAGCGGTCACCGGTAGCCACGAGCCCGACTCGTGCAATCTCTATCAAGACTCAGCCTCACTCTTCTTTGGGCGAGACAGCCCCCAGATCGCTAGCAGGTGTGCCACGGATGACGTTCGAAATGAGCGAGGAGCCGCAACGCAAATGCAGTCCGTCGCCTCATCCTTCGCCATCGTCCAGTACCACGTCTCTCACGTTCATCGCCACCCCGCCTCCTGGGAACAAGCCTCCACGCGCTTTCATGCCCGTGGTCGACGCTAGGACGGGCAAGCCCATGCACAATTGGCAATTGTACCCATCAAGAAACAGGTTCTTCTTCGGCGGCCGCATCCTCATTGGGGGCGACGAGCCGTGGGCATTTGTGGCGTCGCTGGTGGTTGTTTTAGGAATTACGGGAGTGTGGTTCGGGACGACCTGCGTGTGGTGGTGGAAGCATGAGAGTCCGGTGGTTGCAGCGGTGGGCGCGTATATGTGCCTGCTGACGATATCCAGCATGTTCGCTACGGTGCGTAGAAATTCACGTCGTCATGGCGACCGGCACAGCTAATTGTCCGTGGTTGTCGTTGCGATTGCATGGGCAGGCATTCCGAGATCCAGGTATCCTGCCAAAGGATTTGGATCGTCATCCGCCGCGCGAATCAGGCGGTGACCAGGCTCCTCTGCCGCGGGACCTTCGAGTGCGTGCGGGAACGTGAGTTATTGGGAAACATGCTTGGGGGTCGATCTGACATTACCTGATACAGTGTACGCACGAAGTTCTGCGCGACTTGTAGAGTGTACCGGCCGCCACGATCTAGCCATTGCAAGATGGTACGTCTATTATAGGCTGTGTTTGATGGCATAGCGTGAACTCAATGCGTATTAATCATGCAGTGCGACAACTGCGTCGATGTATGTGATCATCACTGCCAGTGGGTAAACAACTGTATTGGCAGGCGAAACTACACGACCTTTTTTACCTTTTTGTTCTCGGCTGTGAGTGTCTAGGATTTTGAGTTTTACTTGGTCACTGGATGTCTCGTTGATTGACTGTCTCTGCCCAGGTGACGACGTTGATTTTGGTGATATGCACTTCTGCGATCCATCTCTACCTCCTCACTCGACCACCCTTTCGCCTCGACTTTCAGCATGCATTGCAGACATCACAAGGGTCGGGTAGCGCGGCTGCGTTTGTGATGTCGATACTGGTGATCTGGCCTGTTATGGCCCTGTTACTGTATCATGCAAGGGTGAGTATTGCTGATTCCTGAAGGCGGTGGTGGACGATGCTGATTCGTATGCTAGCTGCTTCTGCTGAACGTGACGACGATAGAGCAGGTGAGTGTGGTTGCTGGCTGGGGTGCAGGGCTCGGACTGACCGTGCGCAGATTCGCAATCAAGCGCACAAGTCGCTTGTGGCAGGCCCTCCGCCGCCAAACCCGTTTTCGCATGGGTCTTGGCGGCGTAATCTAGTATACGTATTGTGTCGGCCGGGAGGGTTCTCTTGGATGGACGCGACGGCTATTGCGACGGAGGACAGACGAGATGTGAATCCCGGGCTGCTGAGGGATGCAGAGGACGGGTGGATGGAGGAGGGCAGGGTGGGGCGAAAAGCAGAGTGAGGCGGGGGTCGGTGTCGGTGGATGTTTAGTATATTAGGGTCATTGTATTATTGCTGGACCAGCGTGTGGGTACGGGAGTCTGGCGGGGAGAGAGGATGTATTATAGTTATTTCGGCTCGTATTTTTATGGAGACGATGGGCGGGCGGGGAAGCCAATCTGGTGCCTTGGGAGGGTCTCGCTGGGAGGATGCGGGGACGCCTCCGAGATTCCGGGCGATGCGGCGATAAACGCGAGATGGGTGCGATCAGGGGACCGCCGCATGTTCTGGTGGGGGAATAATTCGGGACGAGGGGGCGAACAGAAATTCGGGGATGCGTGCGGCGGGCTGTGCGTTTCTGATGCCGTCCGATGGGTGAATTTCTGGAGACGGAGACTGGGAGGGCGTGTGTGTGTTGTGTACGTACAGCCAGCAGCCAGCAGCCTGGTGGCCCGTGCGAGGCGGGGTCGGAATCGGGGCGGGCGGGGCTGCTGACCAAGATCAGAGCATGGGATCGCACGATGGGATCGATGGCGGCCAGCGCCCCTGGCATCGGCGGGGATCTGCGCGTCTGAGACCGGGCCTGGGACCGCGAGGCTGTGTGCAGAAGCGGTCGGCGACCGCGGCGGAGTCTGGCAGCGGCACAAGAGATCCCTCGTTCGGGCGATGACGTGGGGGGCGGGCGAGCGAGCGGGGGTCACGTGGGCCGCGGAGCTTGAAAGGCGAGGTTGAGCTTGAAGCGGACGCTGCCAGGGCGAGCTCGGCATCCGGGACGTCGCCCTGTTGTTGTCCTCGTTCGTCCCCATTGCCGCCGTCGCCGCCGCCGCCGCCGCCGCCAGAGCCAGCGACGACCCACGCCGAGACAGTGCCCACGACACGCGCCGCGAGCAGAATCCGCGGCCGGACAGCGCCAGCCCAGCAGCCAGCACAAGCACAAGCCGGCGACCGCTCAGACGGACGGCAGTCAGGCAATCATTCTTTATAATCCGGGACGCAGGCAGAATGGACCCCAATCGCCCGAATCCTCCGTCCACGCCGGCCACAGCCTCGCTCGCGACTGTCGACGGCGCTGGCACTGGCGATTCCTCCAGA